CACACACACACACACACACACACACACACACACACACACACACACACTTCCTCTTCAGGTTTGCTGATGCCAGATTTAGAGCTATTTCCATAACCCTGAACCACATGGGTTGCCTCCAGCATTGCCTTACCATAAACCAGGGCTGAGGGCTGAGATCATTGAAAATGGGAACTTCTAAGAGCTGCACTACATAAAACGGCCTGCAGGTGGCAGAGCAAACCTTGTTCCCAAATCCACTCGCCGGTTTTTCAAGTTACTTCAAAAGTAACTGTCAGGTTAGATAAGTTTAGTAGCCAATGCTTCACTAAAATATCTGCAGTCATAATAGTTAATTTGAGGTCAACTCAATTCTGTCTATAGCATGACTGGCTTTTCCTCTCCCTTAGGAATCTAATACAGCTGCAAAGATTTGAGATTTTCTTTTTGTTTTCAGATTCCATTTTCTTCTCATTGTGCTAGTTGGTTGGAAAGAAACGCTGGCATCTACTGTGACTCATTTTGCACCAAGCAGGTCTGTTTCTGAGGGCTGGATGTGGCGAGTGATGCTGATTGGGAAATGGAGCTTTCCTGGATCCTCCTAACCTGGTGTCCTGGGGGTGGGGTCTATCCAGTAAGGAGCCTGGAAGGTGAACAGACAGCTCCTTCATCAGAGCCTTCCCCCCATGGAGCTTTCATTATGGTGCTCTCCTGTGACGACTCTTAAATCTGGGCATTCTCTAGTTCTTTTGTCTGGTGTTTTCTTCCTCTGCCTCTATACTTTCCTGTATCACGACTGGCACCACAAATTATTAAAAGGGTTTCCTAGCCAAGCATTTGCAGAACTGTTGAGTGTTACATATGAATGCTATACTCATACATATTTTCTCATTTCCATATATACGTGCATAGTCTTTGCATATACATCTGTATGAGGGTCAAACCTTATCACAATGAATTTCATTGCGTTCGTTACTCAACTCTGTTATTTTAGAATTCTGCTGCTTCAAATATATTGTAAGTAAACAAAAGGGGCTGGGTTATAAGAAGCAAGACCTAAATGTACCATCTATACCCTGTCACTTGGACCTTAGGAACTAAGCATTTTCTTTAAAAATCTGAAATTAACCCCTATGATACGATACTTGCCATATGTTTTATTCATTAAGGTAAAAAAAGCACACTGAAAGCTTGTTACTATGTACTTAGAGATGATTTATCTCTTTTGAGAAAGACTTCAAAAAGACTTGCAGGCTATAAGTTACAAATATTTCACAGTTATGAGAATTTTAAACATGCTTATCTCCCAAAGCTTTGTTAAACAATGTATCAATAGTTGATGAGTCTAGAATTACATATCTTTGGCAAACTGACCAACTAAATCTGGCAAAGGTTGGTAGAGTAGAATTAGCTGTCCATGAGTGCCCTTTTCAGTTCAAGAATGGGGCTTATTTAGCATCTCAAATCCTGTTAAAACAAAGTTTCTTCTTAAGCGAACTCAAGAGGACCAAACGGCACATGCACATCTAACGGGAACATAACAACCATGCTGAAGGTAGTTTTAGAAGTCATTTAATGGGCAGGAGAGATGGCTCAGGAGTTAGGAGCGTTTGTTTCTCTTGCAGAGGCCCCGGG